AAAATGAATAAAAGATCCCATTAAAATGAATGCAAAAACTGCTTTTTCCTTGAATTAAGAGCTAAGTTCTTGCTGGAGCTGGGACCATGTCAGTGAATAGAAACAATGAGAAGATCACTGTGAAAGGTCGACATGCATGATGAAATTGTGACCTCACTGGGATAAACTTTTTTTTTCCTAGGAACTAATCTTTGCTCTTTTTGACCCAGCAAGAAAGCAGATTCCTTGAGCCACGAGTAAAACACTGAAAGGGATGGCATGCATCCTCTCATGTAGCATCGGGACTACTTTGAGTGACAAACTTCCCACGTCCTCTTTTTGATAATCTTAAATATCTGCTGGTCGTGTCTTGGAAGGAAATGTGATCGTTTCAAAATGATATACACAAGCTGTGCATTCGTCTACACAGCTACAAATTAATCAAGGGGTATTTCTGTACTTATTAATGTAAAATATCATGTTCGTATCTGTGTAAGTACACCTAAATAGTTAAAGATGAAGAGAGAGAAAGCACCAAAAACAGGCTCACAGAAAGAGCGCAAGAGATTACAGTAAAGGGAAGCAGAGCAGAAAGAAAACAGAGGAAGCATTGTCTGGCTTGCAAGCGTCCTTCCAAGAGGAATCCTTATGTTTTCTGTCCTCTTTCTCAGGGATGTAAGCGGTAATCAGAGAGATGTAACTGCAAACCGGACTATTTCCTTGCTTACTTTTTTTTTTGCCTGTCAGAAATGGATAAGGAATTTGCTTGTTTGGCTGGGAGTCTAAAACCTCTTGGCTGAGACAACGGAGCTCTCCATTTAATTGAAGAGGGGATGATGTGTACATCTGACCACGGATATGAAACGTAAGGTTAGGGATAATTACTGTTGAGACCTACTTTACTATGTTGTGAAATGAAGAATGAGCTCTCAGACTTTGCCGAGACATGGAAAAGGTCTTGCACTAACAGATGAGAGCTGGGTTGCTCTGTGTGCAGGAGAACCGAAGTTTTCTTAATTGCACTCAGCAGTACAGAGGGAATCAGTCTCTCAGACTTCTCCTTAAAGGTACAAGATTTAAATGCCATCTTCAATTAATAAAATATTTGGCAAATGGATTTTTTAAACATCATATACAATACAACTGTATGTATGTTGTTCTTGGCTAAGCTTGCTTATGATTTAAATCAAAATATTGTGATTGAATTTTCTATGAGATGACATAACAAACCATTCTGCATCACACTATATGCAGAAAGCAGGAAAAAAAAAAAAGTAAGAATAATCCAACTTTAGAATTTATTTCTAGTTTTAGTCATCTCTTAGTAAGAAGTGTGGTTATAGAGCATCCTTTGCCCAAAGATTCCTAAGCATACCCACCACTATTAAGAGCACATTTCAAAAGCAATAAACAAAACTTTGTGCATTGCAAGAAGCCCTTCTAACCCCTTCCCAAACAAGTTCATGGACGACCAGAACACTGAGAAATGGGAGATGCATGCAGATAAATATGCAGCCCACGTTCTCTGCACCTTTGACCCTTCTGGAACTGGCATCAATCATGCCCGCAGAGAGATGCCGTTCCGTGGCTTCCCAGAGCAGGAATTGGACAGACGTCTGTCTCCACACAGCACTGTTAACCCCGTCTGAAGTTTTGCATGGACAGACACGATGACTCCAACTTCGGTAAAGATGCAGTTCTCACTCTCTGTGGAAATACAAGCACCTGATAGCAAATCACAGACATTCTACCCAGCAGCAGGCAAAATGTCTCATCTTGTGGACGGTGTGGGGAAAAGGGCAGGTTTTCTGTTGGGCTGTTTCATTGTATTTTTATTTTAAAAGGCCATAATGGGTGGTGGTGCAGAAACATTGCTAGGGAGGCCCGGTTTCATCCATGAGAATGGCAGCGAGAGTTTTCAGAAAAGCGCATTGGTTCTGTTACAAATCTATTTACAGATTCCCACTGAAGAGAATGGCCCTTCATTCCAGCGGGAATTTGTGCCGTCACTTCAAATGTTATGCATATAAGTTAATTTCACACTGCTTCAGAACTTTGTTTTCAAATGACCACAAGGGTTAAGAACAGAGAGGAGAAGCCTTGCCAAAAACCCGGCCTAAATGAAGGGGAAGGGCTTTTCTTCACGGGGGGAAGGGCAGGTGGGTGTACAATGGTGGGGGTAGGGCAACGGGAAGGGGGGAAAGCGGGCTGGAAAGAGAGTCTGGTCCTTTGTGTCTCTGCAGCACAAAGATGCTTTCGAACAGGACGGCTGCCAGCTTAGGAAAAAACATTTCTTTATGAGAAAATATGCCACTAACAATGGAATTACAAAAAGTGAGCCAGTGTGTCCTATATGCATTTATTCAATAGTATGCAGGATTAATTGTTTGGAGCATCATACCTTCAGGAGTGTTCTAAGCATCGGAGAGCCAAATTTAGCTTTGATGTCATGAAGTCAAATTTCCTTTCCTATCACAAAGTCCCCAGGATGCCTGATTACAACTGCGCTGAACCTGGCACTAGCAGCAGTTACCTACAGACTGGGCACAGTTCTGCTGAAATATGACAAACTGCATTTGCTTCCTTAGCCACGGTGAATAGATGCACATATTTTCATGTTAGCCCTTCAAAACATTTCGCTTTAATGGAATTTATACCTTTTCTTACTTTGGAATGAGTAGAAATGAAAATAATATAGCAGATGACAATTAGATTATAGCTGCCACAAATAGGATTTTAAGGGTTGCACTTTCAATTATAGTACAGCCCCATTATATTTCCTGCCCGGCTTAAGAGTGCCTTGAACTTGGTGTAAATGTAATTATGAGATGTAATTTGATTCGATTGTTAAGTATAAAGGGGGATTTAAGGATTTATCTATATAGGACTTGTCTATGCAGGGAAATGGAATAATTATGCACAATTAATACGTCTACCTGGAATGTTATATCAGCAAAGCTGTATTAACGTAAATTATTCTGCTATAGCAGATAGCTCATCAATTTTCCCAAGTAAAAAGGCTCTAAGTATAAAAACAAATTAGACTCTAATGATTAATTCAGTATTATATTTATCCAGATTTATTGGCGTGGAGGGATATACTGGTTTCCATGGAATCAAAACGGCAAAGATTCCAGCAACAGATGAAATGATCAGACTTTGAAGCTTCAGCAGTGGGAAGACCACTCCACTGCATATTCCTTCTTTCATTAAGCAAGCTTTCCCCGAAACTTGTTGACACAGTTTTGGACAAGATCCTATGCACCACCTGCATAGACTGGAACCCCAGTCCCAGGTGAAACTGGTTTGAGAAGAATTTCATATGAGCTGAGCTCCGGACATAGGGAATCAAATTGATTCAACAAAACTCTGAGAGTACTCTCAGTTATGTTTGTTTGCCCTCCAAAATGGTGATGAATGTACAACATTCATCACTGCTAACAGTTTGCCTCAGTAACTCTTTGCCTGAATTTGGTTTTGTTTCACAGCTACAAACTAATGAGGGCAGTTAATTGGCAAACGTTCTGCATAGCTGTGGACTGGATGAACATTCCTTTGTGAGCATCTGATAAGCTTAGCCATGCATGGCTGGGGGAGAAACTGCAGTTTGTGCCCACCACTGAAGAAAATGATCAAATATTACACTGTATGGTGGTCTCCTTCTCTGGAGGTGAATTCAAGACAAACCTAATTGCTTTCCTGTAAGGATGCTGCATCAAGCAGATGACTTGATCATCTCCAGAGGTCCTTTCCAACACCTATTATTCTGTGATTGTGATTCTCGGGCTTATAGGGAACCCACTGCCAATGGATATCTTAGCACCAGGTATAGGATAACTGGCGATTCAGTACTTTTCTTGCACTCTTGCAATGATAATGCATTTGAGATGAAAAAGCATATCCAGACTGTAAAGACCCCACTCTCAGCCTCATTCTTTCAAGCTCCTGCACATGGCTACCAGACTTAGGGGTGCACTCAGCAACACTGCGCCCACATTCAGTTTGGTGTGGGGATGCAGCAGTGAAGCTGCACTGCCTGTAAGAGCCACCTCCAGCCGTCCGACCCGGTGGCAGCCAGCCCTGGGACGGGCCCCGAGGACCTCAGGCAGGGGCTCGAGGCCCTTTCCCCCTTCTCAGCGTCACCAGCCTGATCCAGGGGACAGCCGGGCACCGTGCCACAGCCCAGGATCCCTGCCGCTTGTGTGACAGAAACTCCCCGAGGGCCTCGAGGGCTGCGTAGGGCCATATTTGGCGTTCCTCGGTGCCATCTCCCGCCCAGCCCCGGGGGGCTTCGGCCTCCACTCCAGACCCCCTCGTTCTGCCAGGCTCCCGCCTGTTCATCCCCTCAGGACTCCCTCGGTGCTCCGGGAGAAGTTCGTGTCGAGAGGACCAACGCTTGTGGGCACACGCTGAGGGCTTGTGGTGGACCGTGAGGGTTGTGGCGCGATCCCGCCCCGGCGACCCATGAAGGAAGAAAGGAAGGAAGGAAGGAAGGAAGCGCCTTTCCCTTCCCTTCCCGCACGGCCTGCCCGCACCGCAACCCTCAGGCGCGGCACCCGGACTGCAGCCGGCAGTTCGCGCGGCGCAGCCTCCTCCTTTCCCAGCGGACCGGGCGGGACGGGGGAGGCGGGCAAGAGCCGAGTGGAACCGCCCCTCCCGCTGAGGAGCGCGGCGCCCCCGGCCCGGCTCGGGGCGGCGGCGGGTGGGCGGGCGGGGCGAGGGAGGGGGCGGGGCGGGCCGTACCAACACCCCCCCGGGGGAGGCCGCCCTCACCCCCTCCCACCGGCTCCCGGCGCTCGCCGCATCGCTAACGGGAACCCCCCTTGAGACGGGCGCGGTTCGCGGTGTCTCTGAGTGGGGCGGGAAGCGTGGGGCGAGGCGATTCGCCCCGGGGCGGGGAGGAAGGAAGCGGGGGAGGAGGTGGGGGCCCGCCGGTCCCCCTGTCCCCGCGGCGGGGTGGTGTGGCCCGCTCCGGAGGGCGGGGGGCGGCGCAGCGCTCGCTGCTCGCCGCTAAACGCGCCCGGCGCGGGGAGGCGGTGGCCGGACCTGGAGAGACTCAGCAGCCGAGCCTGGAGTATGGCAGGGATCGGAGCCGCTTCTCGCGTCTCGCCGGCTCCTCTCGGTCGTGGGGAACTTTTTCCAGCGGCCGGTGCCTCCCCGCGGTGGTGGCGGTGGCAGCGGAGACGGCGCCGGGCGGGTTCGGCGCTGCCCCCGGGGTTGGGGCTGCTGGGACTGGTGTTCTCCCGCTTCTGCTGCAGTAAGTGCAACTTTTTCCTTCCCAAGGCGGGGGGGGGGGCGGAGAGAGAGGAGGAGCGGGGAAACCCGAGCCGCTCCGGGGTCGGGGGCTACGGGAGAGTTGGGGGAAACTTCGTGCGGGATCCCGGCGGGAGGAAAACGGGGCGGCTGCTGGGCCCCGCCGGCAGTGTGAGGACCGTTACTCGCGCGGGCCGCGGCCCCCTCCCGGTTGCCCGCAGCCTCTCTGCGGCGCTGTCTGCTCCGCGGGCGGCGCTGCCCCAGGCGCGGTGGGGAAGTTTGTGCGCCGCTGTTCGGAGCGGCACTTCCCGCCCCGGTGCGTTCCCCGCTGCCTGCGGGCGGTGGCGGTCATCCTAGGGGCGGCGCGGGGGCGTCGGTGTCCGTGGGGTGCCCTCTCGTCTCCCCGTGCTGCCGGTTTGCGTCGCTTCCCCTTCACTCGGTGAAGCCGGTGCTGGTTATGGTGTAAGGTGGCTTCTGGCCTCCTTGGGTGCGTGCAACCCGGAGTTGGAGTCGGCGATCCCCTCAGCTCCAGATATCCCGTGTGCGTACGGCTTATCCCCTCCGGGCAGGTGCCGCGGGGCCCTGTGCTTCTAGAATCCCCCTTTCACATCCCCCCTCCCCCCGTGCCCTCCCGTTTTGCGGGCACTGAGGAAGTTGAGAACTCAATCACGGCGCGGTTATTCTTTTATTGCATGGGAGTCCGTGTGCGCGGTGTGGTTTTATGGCAGTGGGAGCGGCGGGGCCGTTTTTTTTTTTTCTTCTCCTTCAAAAGCACATTGAGAACCGTCGTTCTGCCGTGTATTCCCAACGCGGCAATGAGGAGTTGGCAAGGATGTTTTATTATAGGATGTGCCGTGTCCTTCTCCTCTTGAAGGAAAGAGGAACAAGTTAGGAAGAAGCCTCTGGAGGTTGGTGTGATAAAAATACTGCGAGCAGCCTGCAAGTCGTGCCATCATAAAGCGGCTGTGGAGGAGCTGAGAAATGCTTTTTCAAGGAGGGAGTTGGGGCAGTGCTGCTGCGAGATGGTGCTCTCGCATGGAATAGTCTCCCCCCTCTGGCAATGGTGTAGCTTTCTGAAATAGATGATTATTACTAATTTAAGCCTAAAAACATGTGTTTGCTGAAGAAACTATGTGGAAATTGCATGTGTTCTCTCTATCCCTAGAGAAAGGCGGCTGTGGGAAAGACAGAAGGGTGGGTCTCAGTGTATCGTGGGTTGATTCAGAGGAAGGAAAGCAGTTTGCCAGCGCTTCTTGCTTTGACGGTGAGCCTGTGGCCGTTAGTTTGTTGAGACTTAACGTGCTTGCATGCTTTTCTGTTGGGCTGAATAACAACTGCAGTGCTTCGTCACGACACAGGAGTTCTGCATGGCTAGGAGACTGCTCAGGCGAGATTACTGGGATGCTTCCTCCTTAGAGAAGGTGAAATGCTTTTTCAGAAGTAGTCTAAAAGTTGAAGCGCTTATGTAGAAATCTCCCTTGTGTTGCGCACAGTGAATATGTCTTGGCTGTGGAGTTAAGTGTCTGTATCAGTGTCTGTCTTATTTTTTTTAACGGTTCATGAGCTGTTGTACCACGCTGCTGCAAAAGTAACTGAAACAAGATGTGCTGCCTTACGCTGTGTTTTCTGGAGCTACTTGGCTGAACACTGTAAGAAGTGCTATAGACCCAACTGCTTCTGCTTTGAAGTGCCTTCAACAGTTAAATGTTCTATATATAAGACTTTTGAGTACTCGATCAATAGTGGACGCTTTTATTAGTATTTGCTTGTATTTGTTGCAAATTGTCTCCTATATTAATAAGATGCCACATCTCAAAAACTCTAAGATTTGAAGACTTAGCTTTCAGAGAGTTGGTAAATATCTTGCACCAGCACACTGCTCTCTCCCTTCCATGAATTTGTGAAGGTTGAGCAAGACCACCAAGATCATCTAATCCAAGTAACAACTCATCACTAGCAGGTGTTGGGGTGACTTGTGCTCCTTGGAGGTGAGAAAGCTGGAGCTGCTGGCTTGATATAACCTTGCCAAACTAATTGTGCGTGTAAAAATGTGAAGATAGCTGTAACAATGAAGTTGAGAGCTGTGTCATGTGGCAGCTTACTATTTTAATCTTAATGAGTGTAAATGAGATGTCAGTCCTCCCAGATTGCTTTTGGCATATGTGAACTTGACCGATAACACTTCAGAACATCTGTCAAAAGTTGGAATGTTGTCTTGAAATAATACTCTTGAAGCAGAGGGTTTTGATGTGTGATCTGTGGACAGAAGGGGAAATTTTCAAGTACAAGCAACCTGTGGACTGTGAAGTCAGGAGCAGGAGAAGACAGATTTTGGTCAGTTTCTTACTGCTTAGGTAACTTTTCTTCTTGCCCCTGAAATTCCCCCCAGTGGTTTTCGTTATCTGCTTAACTGTCACAGGTAAGTATGAAGGGAGAAAAGTCTACGCCAGTGAATGTAGCTTTTGAGGATGCTTATGTCATCTTGCACGAGTACACCTGAAATATGATGAGGTGTTGACAGAAGCCAAAACTGCTGATTACATTTGATCACTGTTCTTTTTTTCTCATTGGTCAGTGCTGTTAGTACCTGCAAAAGGCAGAATTGGAAAGAGCACCACCAAAAAAACCTAGTGGAAAAGCTCCAGTATAAAACCAAATTTTTATGAAATCACTTTGACAGTAAGAGGTGATGATTTGATCTGCAATTCCTTAGAGAAATTACCTCCTCAAATAGGAAGGAAAGGAGAGAATGCGTGTGGAATCTGAAACAACTTGTGGATTTTTGATTACAGATAGAGCTGCATTAGTAAATACTGCTCTTTCAGTAAGTTGTTGAGGTGAGTTCAAGAAAACAATGAAATGCCTTTTATGTACATCAAGGGGAAAAGGACAATGTAGTCTAGAAATTCTTGTTGGAATGTGCTTTTTTTTGAAGGTGGAGAGAGGTGTGTTTTAGTAGATCCAATAAGGCAATGTTAAGAGGAGTAAGGATAGCATACAAGGGATTATAATGGCTGCAGAGGATGAAATATTGATCAATTATGTTGTAGGTATGGAGGTGTGAAACTCCTACATGAGGAAACAGCAACAACTGCGCTGGGACAAGTAACTTACCTCAAGTAGAGGGAGAGATAATCTGGTTTGTTCAGAATCAGTTAAGGTGGAAACAGAGGTTTGTCCAGCTCCTACCTGGGGAGAACTCTATTTCATATGCAGTATACAGTTTTGGAATAGTCCTGAGCTCTGTTCTGTTTCTGTATGTTTGTTATTGAAGAACACTTTTGCAGCATGGTAATTAAACTCATGAAAAAAGGAATGCAAAATAAGTAAAAGTAGATGCTAACATCATAATAGAATATATAATATTGACTTGACTGCTATTTAAATTTTGGCAGATTTTTATATTTGTAACGTTTCATGAAGTAGGTCTGAGTTATTCTACCTAAAAGAAGTGATTATAAAATTTGTATGGATAGGGTGGAAGCAAGTGGTAGGCTTTATATCTGTCAGTGTCAGAGCAATCACAGATTTTAGGATGAATGAAAAGCAAGGATACCAAGTATCATTTTTTGCTTCTGGTGTGCAAGAACACTTCTAAGTTTGTTGAAGTGCAATTTAATGTTATTTTGAGGTGTTAAGGTCTGAACACTGAGTACTCTAAAAGTATTGTGATGGTTGTTTACCCATTAAAGATTGACTCATTTCTTGATTCAGTGTGTTTCTCTTCATTGCCTGCTTAAGTAACTTAATCTTATGCCATGGAATATGAAGATTATGTTGAACAAAGAGGATTCTAGCAGGACTTCTTTCTTGTAAGACTAAGCAACCTTTTCAGAAATAATCAGGTTTAGGTTGTCACTGCCCACCCATTTGTGCAGCATTGCTCACAGAATGGTATTAGGAAACAGGACTGTTCTGTGACAGGAGGAGTGAAGTCTGTTGTTGCTTTCACAGAGTATCTGTACCAGCTGATTAGCTTTAGGTGCTAGTAGCTTTTAAGGTACACAGCCTTGCAGATTTAAGTGCGTTGGCTCGGGAGAGGGCATGGGGGTATTCTATTTTACTAAGTGTGTGTGGCTAATGAGAAGATGTTCTTAGAGCCTGCTCAGAAGTTGAAAGCTCTAAATTTTCAATTTTGAAGTCTAAGTTGCAATTTTTGAAACAAAATCCACAGTGAATCCACAGTAAGGCAGCTGAGATACTTGGTATACAAACTGGAAAAAGGTAGTCTTGCTAAGCAGTGAGTGCTTGTAGTGCTCCAAGTAAATGTTGGTGGAGTTTCTTTGAGTTAATTCAGTTATCTATTGGATAGCAGTAGATCTCAGAAGCATTACATATTGTTGCTATAGAGTTAGTCTTGGCATGCTGTCTTGTAATAGAAGGCAACCTTTGTTGGTTTTTTCATGTGCCAACCAGATTCTCTACTGGAATCTATGACTACAGACTGAGTAGGTAAATCTGAATGAGCTGAGAGCCCATATTGGTCCCTGTATTTAAAAGGGATTAGAAAAAGGAGGGAATCAACGTTTTTCATAGGTAGCCAGTGATAGGGCAAGGGAATGGTTTTACATTCAAGAAGGGAAGATTTAGATTGAATATCAGGTGGAAGCTCACCATAGAGTGAGTGGTGAGGTGCTGGAACAGGCTGCCCAGAGGGGCTGTGGATGCCCTGTCCCTGGAGGTGTTCAAGGCCAGATTGGTTGTGGCCCTGGGCAGCCTGGTCTGGTTCTACCAGATCTGGAGGTTGGTGGCCCCACATGTGGTGCAGGGTTGAAACTTAATCCTTGAGGTCCTTTCCAACCCAAGCCATTCTGTGAGTGGGTTGTGTTGTGTGCTTGTGCTGTAATCCTGGTTTATTTCATCTTAAAAAAGCTCTGTGATAAGACTGTTTCTTGCTAGTGCTATTTGTAATCTGATTTCTGCTTTCCAGCTTTGAATGGCTATGTTGTGTTAAAGGCTGTTTAAATGCTTTTTTCTGATGACCACTTAACTTTGTGGCATATA